CATCTTGTTTTTGTTTTTTTATGCGGTATCTTGGATGTGCTCTGTCAGTTTTCATTCAAATTTGGCATGTACTTTATACATGTTAGGATGCATGTCCATGACAATTTGTTTCAAAATCTGGTCAAGGATGGCCAATTGACAGCCATCTGACTTTTTGGCCTTACTACTATATTTCCACAATTTATGTACCATTTTCATTCGTATTTGGCACATACATCATACATATCAGTGTGTTTCATAATCAGATCAAAGATGGCTGAATAACGGCTGTTTTTATTTTGGCCATATTACTATGACACGAAACACGTGTTTTGATGTAAATAAACAATCTGTTGTATACGCCACTTGGAACTCAAGTTTCAAAGACATGCTCGCGACAACCCCTCCGCTTTAATATGACGAGCACAAAGAAAACTTAACGGGGACTGTGTCATTTTCAATGACTTGTTTATTTACAAGATACATTGTAACAAGTCAAGTGGACATTTTAAATAGGACAATAGGGCAGGATTATTTTCACAGATCACACTATCCACTTAAAATCTGTCCATTTCAAACACATGTCAAACCACTGAGATTTGATATGTTCAGCATAAATCTAACCAATACCTCAAATTCCTACCCAACATCTTTTGCACAAAATTACATACAGCATACCTGTTTCTCACTTAACTCCCATCCTGCTGAAGCAACCATATTTTCATCTAGTTGTTGTAGAGTCTTTGCTCCAATTATGGCCGCAGAAACTGTGTCCTTTTGGAGAAGCCATCGCAGTGCAACCTGGGAAATGGTTTTGTCTGCAGGTGAAATGAGATCAAAATATATACAATTTAAACATCAATGTGTTATTTTAGTGCATAAAGATCAATGAACTTAAGACAAAAAAAAAACTTGAAAAAAACCTAAGGATACTTAACGAGAATATATTATCCAATCACAATCCAATAGAGAGCACAATATGATTCCCGCCAAGACCAAGATGATCAGAAAATTCCAAACACATTTACATTTCTCATAATATGCAAATGGCAAGTCTAACAAAGAACGAGTTAGTATGTATTTGTCTCGCAATTTGCCCTTTGTATTAACATGCTCTATGATGCTATTCATTGAAAAAGAATTATTTGATGTGCACATGGAACTCGTGAAGTCATGAGATTGCCATTGCCTATCTCCATGTACATAAATATCAAAGTTACATACCTTATTATGTAAATTAAGGCAAATTCAAATGTGACATTACTGAGCATGTTAATGCACAATATGCAATGCATTTTGGGTGATAATGTATATAATTGAGAACTAATCTCCCTGGAAACTCGCTAAATTATATGAAAATTTTTTGAAATGATTTCACATTATTAAATTTCATATATATGACTTTTTTCAACCCATGCCATCAAGCAAAATGTTTAAATATATAATATTGCTATAGAAACCAGTGTAAAAATACCACTTTTGATTACATTTTTTGATGTTTTAAAGTCACGTATGTCAAAAAATTGTCTGGTGACCCCAATTTCTTTTTTCTTCTGTATCCTGATTGTGTGATCTTCAAGTTGGCTGAAATATCCTTAATTTCTTTTTCAAAAACCCATCTACATACCGTGTTTCTGGCCGATCCTTTCCATTGTGTCTAATAAATCAAAAACTTTTCCATCACTTGAATATTTTGAGTAATTAGGATGACTCTGTTGTTTTATTTGTGGATTAGCTTCTGAGAACGCTATTCTGCTACCTTCAGGTGGCGAGCTGCTATCTCGTTTTATTTTCCCGGTTAACCATCCACTGAATGAAAAAACAGAACATCGACAACTTGATTTAGGAAATTTATAACATCAACAACTTGATTTCTAAAATTATTTGGAAATAAATAATATGTAACAAACAATGGGACCAGGATTCAAACAATTGTACATTTTCTTGGCGATATGTGAAGTAAACTTTTTTTATTTTAACATATGTATATTGTTTGTTTTTCATAATTCTTCACAGTATTATTTTAATTTAAGGATGTTTTTCATATCTTCATCGTCTGACAAATTGTCAATTTATGATATTTAATGATTTTCATTATTATACAGCTAGCAAAAAAATTGACTTTCCCACAAGAAGCCATACTTGTATTTGATATATTACGGTACGTACATCTTGCATTCATTTCAATGTTCAAAAAGATACACACCGCCAGCAACATTGAACAGGTTCCAGATTATTAATGTCACATTTGAACACTCTTGTTTACATTGGACGCAAGATTACAAATGGAAAAAGATGAATAATAATAAGGTTGTCACAAGGGATGCCGCAAAGTATGCACCTAGGCAGTACAGGATCACATAGATAATCATTCTACTACCTATCGGTACCTATGTGCATGCTGGATTCTGGCAATAACCTCATTATGTTTTCATTATTATAAATTACCCTTTAAGTGGGCTCCACGCCATGACACCGACACCTTCATTTCGACAGACATCCAGTAGTTCCCATTCAGGCCACCGACAGAGTAAACTATATTGAGACTACCAAATAAACAAGAACAGTGAGGAATACATTTTGTTGTTTTGTTCCAGAAATGGGATGATTAAAATCTTCCTTAAATTATAATATAATTCATAGCATTACAGGATATTGCATCAACTATCGCTGTAAACACCTTATTCGGTATAATTATTACACTGCCATTTTAATGTCAAAATAATTATTGCCTTGATATTTTCTATTTCTGAAAAATGTAATTTAACATCACCATGGTATTGAGTGATGATACTCTACTTACTGCCAGACTGATCCATGGATTGACACCCATACTCTTACATAACATCATGATTTTCTGCATTTGCCAACCTAACACATTGCCAGCACCAACGTATCGTATTTTACCAGCTTTGATAAGGTCATCTAGCGTACGTATAGTTTCCTCAATTGGGGTACCTTCATCCCACACATGGATCTGTGTGTAAATCAAGTTGTGATTTGTGTTAATTTGAGTCCATTGATCATGTGTCAACATTTCAACATCTGAAAAAGGCTCTGAAATAAAACGATGTGGGAAATCAACATAGTGACCACTTTCATCAATAATACATGTACACACACACCAAAACTTGACTGTGATGACCCTCACCTTGAATAATTTTTCAAAATTTATATTAATATTTAATCCAATTCAACTTTTCAGTTTGCGAAGCTTAGGGTCAGAGAAAGGAGTAAGGTATGGTACACATTATATTTATTTAAATAAACTACCGGTAAGTGTGTACCATATACATTCCTCTGTTCTCTAACTCTATGCTATGCAATTCCTGTACATTAAATTATAATTTGTATGATGTTGTTTTTATTGTGTTGTAATTTATTAAACTCAATGAAAATTGTTGCAATTTATTTGAGTTTTGCAATTAAATCAAAACCCTATATAGGGTATATAGGGTTGCATTTTAAGTAAGTTTAATAGACACATACATAGTGACGATGTATGTGTCAGTGTCAGTGTCTGTTTCCACTTTTCATTTCTGATTCTGCATGTTTCATAGAGTTGTTTTGTTCATCCTTTTTTTAATCTAATCCAAAACACGTTGAATAAATAAATATAGTTGAGTAAGGTTTTTAAAAAAAAACAAATTTCAATTACCGGTAAGGGCTTTCTCCGTGAATCTATTAACCCAATGTCTTAGTTTTAGGGATATACATAATATATCCACCGAGGTAATCCAACGAGTAGGTAGTCATGTTTTTTAATCTTGTGTTTTCTCATATAGATACTAGGGGATTTTACTTACTTTTTCTTAATTAAATTTACTATTGAATCTACATATAATTTTCCTTAACATATAACTAAACATTCAGCATGAAATCACACACACTATTAACACGATTCAGACTGTCCTTTTAAAACAAGGCTTTGAAGAACCACATTTTAGTTATTGCACTTTGAGTTTGTTATGGGTCCCAACTGATGCTTTAACTTTATTAACCTAAATCAGACAAGATCAATAATTCCAATCTCACCTGATACAGATCAATATAATCAGTCTTTAATCTTCTTAAACTTTCATCCACACTTCTTATCAAGTGTTTTCTACTCAGTCCAATGGTATTTGGATCATACTGACCAACATTGTCCACTCCACTATAACTTTTATCTTGCATGTAACATGGCTTGGTAGTGACTATAAATCGATCCCTCTGTTTTCTGAATGTAAAACACAACATTTAGTATAACGCCATGCTAGAAATATCTTATGAGGGAAAACAAATTGATGCAAGTGTCATAAATTCTTTAATTTTTTATAACAAATTGATTGGATTTGTCTTTGGTTTATAGATTAAATAAAGCAACATTTCCAGAAATAAGTTGGTTGCTTGTCAGTTTGAAATGTGCACTTTATACTTTTTGCCAGGGTGGGAATAAAAAGGAAGAAAAAAAACAGCAAAACAAAAAGTACCAAAAATACATTTTTTAACTTCTCAAGACATAGATAAAAGATATTTTTTCATGAAAACATTTTCATAATTATGGTCATTTAAATGTAATTTTTAATCTGAAATTAATCTAAAAATACATCTGATATATTGTTTAGCATTGAATCATTAAAAAGTTGAGGGGTGAAAAATTGTGCAAAATATTGTTTTCTTTCAATTAGATTTGTGCTCACTTTTTGTTTCCATGATGAAGTTGCTGTAAATATTTGTTTACACTATGTGAAATATTTTTTCCTCTAAAATTTGAGCAGCAGATTTTATTTATCTGTTATTTTTTTTTCATGATTTTTTTCCTGTGCAAATTATTTTATATCATCGCTCCTCTCAGAGTTTCTAATGGTCAACCACTTACAGGTTTTAATCCAAATATTTTGACAAAAGTCATCAACATAGAAAAAAAACATCTACTCACTTTGCTAACCAGTTTCCTATAATTTCCTCTGCTTCTCCATTACTGTAATCATCAGATGTATCAATAAAATTACCTCCCCATTCAGCAAAGCGGTCTAAAATACTGTGTGCCGTTATTTCATCGCACTGGCCTGGCCTCCCTGCCTGAAACGTAGTGTTTGAATATTGTAAATATGATATATATCTTATAGAGCAATGATTTATTTGGCCACAAGTAGCATCCTTTTCACCACCATCACAAATTCACTGAATAGTCCCGTTTATAGTCTGCACTTTACTTCAGAAAATTGGACACAAATAGCAAAAATTTTATGAGTAACAAGTCATTGTTAATGCCATAGTCCCCGTCATGTTTTTATTGACTTTGTCAAACAATGAAAAGCATAGTCAGATTATGTTTAAATACCGTATTTCTCTGGGTAAGCGCCCATGCCCGGGGCAAACGCCCACCCCCCAATTTTGATGCAATAAAGAGATTGAGGTCATGTCCGGGCATATGCCCAGGGGGTCTTTTTATACACTTGTAATAACAAAAAATAACAAAAACCTATTGTTGTTTGATGTATTAACAGTTGACTTCCTTAGAAACGATTCAAGAAAATCTTACAGAGAGCCGCAAGGCAAGTGTTGCACTTGGCTTTAATGTCATCGACAAGAAACAATTGTTTTGGCTTTATAAAATTTAAACCACTATATTCTGCCTTTGTACCAAATGTAAACGAAATCTGTACAATCATCTCTGTATCAAAGAAGCTTAGAAAGAACTCTTGTGTGCTGAAGATATTGGAGGCATGAAAAACAATTAAGGAATACTGTATTTACTATATTAGAAGCACATCTTCTTTACACATAAATGCATTGTGTTTGTTGCATGCAAAATAATTGAAATATGTCTTATTTTGAGCAGATCTGTGGATTATTTAAAAGCACCTATGTACCTAGTTTTATTAGTGAATATCTATGGAACACCTGTAAATTAGTTAATTTATGCAAATAAGATAATTAGTAAGCTTACAATTTAACCCTAAATTAGGTATTAATATGTACGGATCAGGTCTGAGCATTACCCCAGAGCATCTATGTACCAAATTTCATTAAAATATAATTGTTGGTTTTTGAGATATCATTGGAACAGACACACACGCACACACACCCACACACAAATGCACTAACCACAAATCGCACACAGGAGTAAAAAATGAACAGAAATCTCCTAAAAAAAATGGCCACCAGTCCGCCATTTTGAATCGAATAACGAAAAAAAATGATGTGCATCAGTATATGCCAAGTTTGAAAGAAATCGGGAGAGGCATGTCCAAGAAACAGTTGATGACATGTCTAATGTTGATTTTTTCTGTTATTTTGGGATATAAATGGCGGCCAGTCGGTTAAAGGTCAACCAAATCAAAAATAAATCGATGTGCACATGTCTCCCATTATGACTTGTCTTTGTACCAGCTTTGAAGAAAATTTGTCCAGGCGTCTCAGAGAAATGACGACGGACGCACGGACGAACGGACCCAAAAACATAAGTCCCTGTTTCGGCCAGCGTCCGACCACCTGTACATCCGACGGGGACTAAAAGGTGAAAATTCACTCAAAATCTGTCTGCTGGCTCCAAAATTAGGGTTTCATTTCCAGATTGAAGAATATAAAAGTGCAATTGCAAAACAAATTGGATGAGAAACTGGTGGTGAAAAGGTTACTGTCAGTTAGCAGCCACATCCCAGTCCCAGCCCCGGGACAACCTATTGAAGATGCTGGTAGGTGTCTTCTCTGACACCGCCCGTCCTGTCAGTGAGCCGCTCGGAACAATACGAGCGCTAGCGAAAGTGAAATGAAATGCGTATAACTGTCTGTACCTTATGCTTCCCAAAGACAGTTGATCCAAGACAGATGTTTGATACTTTAAGACCGCTGTTGCCCAGATAGTGATAAACAACGTGTTTCATGCCGGCTGCCATTTGCACTTTTTTAAGTGATGTCTGTAATAGGGGTCACGGGCATGTGATAAACGATTAGGGTCAACCATTCAAAATTATGGGTGTGGCTAGAAGAGTAGACTCGATGCCGTTTATTATCGCAAGACTTGTGTCTGTTTCTGGGTGTCTATAAGCCGAATCTCAAAAAACTTATCAACACGATTACGTTCATCCTTAATAAGCAGCTAATTTGCATATTAATTATCTCATTTCAGCCTGTTTAAGTAAAATCTCAAAAACTTTTTTGATCAAATTTGGTACACAGGTACCGTGAAGCTAACGTGCAGACATGATTAGTTTTAGTGTCATGACCCTATATTATTACGTAGCTAATTTGCATATTGACTCATTTTGGCCTGTGTAAGCAAAACCTCAAAAATTTCAGAACGGATTTTGAATAAAAAAATGCTATATATTTGAGCTGGCTGGTGATCCTAACCTCTAATGCTATTGCCACTTCACTGTATGATGGGAATTTTTATTTCCTAGATATTGTTAATGCATATATTCTGTATTCATATGGGATTTTTGCAGAGTTCAATTAAGACTATGACCCTAACTATGACATGGCACTAATACAATTTCGCTAAGATTTGTGAGTTTTTGAAGTTTTTTTTTAAATTTATTTGTCCGTGTAGATTTGTTTCTTCGCAAACTGAAGTATCCCAACCTACATACTTCACATACATTCTAATGTTCAATCGTATATAAGTGTCTCAACGTAGATTAACAAGCGCGGACATGTTCCTGTCTGCAGGCCTGTGTATACGTACTACGTGTATAGTATAAACCGTTTTCAGTGGATGTATAATATAGACATCATTATTTTAGACGATTCAGTCTCTAATGTCTGTCAGGTCAAATATTACGTAACTCTATCTTTGAAATGCAGTTCCAATTGATGCAGTCTTGGGACAAATGAATGTACTTCTACTAAAATTGGATGTGTTAAAAGTGGCATCTGCTGGCTTTATTAAATTATCCATGTCACTGTCCTTCTATGCCCATATACGAAATATATAGTATCCCAATATCCAAGGAGTGATTATTAGGTATGCTTGTTTAGGAGAACCTGGGTGCCGCGATCGAAGCTCATTAAGCTACACCGCCAAGTACATCATTGCACGAGTTCACAAGGCCATAAGCTTTGTTGCCCTCAGCGACCGACCAAAAAATATGAAATATCGGGTCGCGTTTTTTTCCCATATACCTCGGCTATTTACGATACCCTTAGTTTTCACGAGTTAAAAAAAAATCCGACCGACCGACCCAATTTTTCAATTTTCCGACTTGAGGGCAACATAAGTTGTTGTTTTTTGGCCTATAAATAAACTGCCGCTTTCAATTTATAAATATCAGGGTATACGTCATAAAAACAAAGTAATTTATGGTGTCAACTGACCGGAGGGCGACCATTTCATCGTCTTAACCCTTCTTCCGGGTACTGGCCGTGTTATTGTAATGGCAGTCCACAACATGATGTACAATTACTTGGGTAACAGTGGACTTAGAGTATCTGAAATAGGTTTAGGAACAATGAAGTTTGGTGAAGCCAAGGTAGGTCACGTGGTTTCTATCAGAGTTTAATTGTAAATGCAGTAGCAGATGTAAACGAATGCGTCCAAAAGCTGCGGATCTATCGCACTCTACGGTTTCTAGTTCTATAGTGCGACAGATAGCTAATTGTAAATGTTTTACTTATCTGACTTGTTCTTGATCGTATTTTGTTGCAAGTCGCAATAACCGGGGCAGTGTACACCAAATGAAAATGTCAACCGTCAACCGAGAGGGCCATATGAACCACAACTATGTTTACAGTTGACTTTGGCACCGACGTATACATATATATACATTTGTTACATTATTCTATGTAGTATATTTGTATAAATTAGTTGACCTCGAAAAAAACACAATGATAGGTGACGAAAAATGGTATGTTCATTGTATGTGTCTGCTTATTTAATCATATATATTTTTATTGTCCCCTGAACTAATCGAGCACCTGTTGTACCGGTCTCTTTTTCAGTGGGATCCGCCCACATTTCACGACCTTCGGAAAATGTCGCTGCGACACGTATATGAGTAAATGCACTGAGAAATAATTTTCTGGATTATATCCCAAAACGCCGATTTCCAAACTCGTCACGTGCGTATCGTGTTGAGGAGTTAGAAAATAACCCATTCTACGCGATTATACACTGGGTTTGGATCGGTTGAAAAATGTAATTGATATATATATATATATATATATAT